CCTCACTCATTCCTCTCAATGTTTGCTGACGACGCCAAAATTATGAGAAGGATTAAGACAGAGGAGGACAGCTTGAGGCCTCAAGAAGACCTGGACAAGCTGCAGGAATGGTCGAACAAATGGTTGTAAGAGTTTAACCCAAGCAAATGTAATGTAATGAAGATAGGTGTAGGGAACAGGAGACCAGATACAAGGTATCATTTGGGAGATGAAATACTTCAAGAGTCAGAGAGAGAGAAAGACCTGGGGGTTGATATCACGCCAGATCTGTCCTCTTAAGCCCATATCAAGAGGATAACATCAGAGGCATATGCCAGGCTTTCCGACCTTAAGGAAACTTGTGTAAGGAATCATTCAGAACTTTGTATACCACAGATGTCAGACCAATCCTGGAGTATGCGGCTCCAGCATGGAGTCCATATCTAGTCAATCATAAGATTAAACTGGAAAAAGTTCAAAGGTTTGCCACCAGACTAGTACCCGAGCTGAGAGGTATGAGCTACGAGAAGAGATACGGGAATTAAACCTCACGTCACTGGGAGACAGAAAAGTTAGAGATGACATGATCACCACATGCAAGATTCTCAGAGGAATTGATAGGGTAGATAAAGACAGACTGTTTAACACAAGGGGCACACGCACTAGGGAACACAGGTGGAAATTGAGTGCCCAAATGAGCCATAGTGACGTTAGAAAGACTTTTTTCAGTGTCAGAGTAGTAGACAAATGGAATGCATTAGGCAGTGATGTGGAGGAGGCTGACTCTATACACAGCTTCAAGTGTAGATATGATAGAGCCCAATAGGCTTAGGAACCTGTACATTAGTTGATTGACAGTTGAGAGGCAGGACCAAAGAGCCAGAGCTCAACCTCCGCAAGCACAATTCGGTAAGTACACACACACCTCTTGTAGGGTGTGACAGTAAAGCTAGGGCCCGTGACAGTGTCCACCCTCCTGGGTTCAGTTGAGGGTTAAAAGTAGAACTGTCCCCGGACACACCGGAGGGTTTTGTTTAGTTATCCCTTGTTCAAGGTTTTCTTTATTTACTCGAGCTAAGGGATGTTATTAATGAAACTCATTACTCAAGACTATCATGATCCTGGCGCGAGTCTGCGTCTCAGATCTAAACATAATTGCCCAACAAACACCGTAGAGGTAACAAGCATGTAAATAACTGGGAATTTGAAGTAATTTATTTAATATAGGCGAGGCTGTCGTGCATGTTTTGACGCAGTTTGAAGCAAGTTTCATGTTACCGCCAGAGCTCAATTACCTTCCCTGCGAGGCGGGAAATCTTCGCATAGATTTCTTTCTCCCGCAAAATATATATTCGCGAAAGTGACGTACTGTCCCGTTTTCTGTTTTGGGTCCTCTGGTAGGTTAGGCGAGGACACTTTTAAATTAACTGTTTTCATGATGTTTTGAAACCCTTGGAGAACTTGCTGCCCTCCTAACCTATCAGAGGACCCAAAATCTGCTGTTTTGGGTTCATTTCATTTGGAAAATGAATTTCTATTTTCTAGTGCGGCAACTTTTGGCCGTAGCGCATACGAGCGAAAAGAGAGGACTCATATCTAAGAGGACTCGAACCTGTCCTGGTATGAAAGTCGACTTAGTTTTGAAATAATTTTAGTTGCCCGGTGTTTAACTTCCTCCAAAGGAACTATGTTTTTCTGAAGATGAGAGGCCAGATTCACGAAGCAGTTACGCAAGCACTTACGAACCTGTCCATCTTTTCTCAATCTTTGGCGGCTCTGATTACAATTATTAAACAGTTTATGAGCTCCGAAGCACCAGGAGGCTGTTTATAACAATAACAACAGTTGATTGGCAAGTTTTCATGCTTATAAACTGTTTAATAAATGTAACCAAAGCCGTCAAAGATTGAGGAAAGATGTACACGTTCGTAAGTGCTTGCGTAACTGCTTCGTGAATCTGGCCCAAGGTCTCCATGCTTGGATACAATAATATAAATGGGGACGCACCAGAGATCATCAAGATATAAAGATCTGGGCGTTGATATTTTGTATTTATTTATTTATATATACAAGAGTTCTTACATTCTTGTACAGCCACTAGCACGTATAGCGCTTCGGGCGGGTCCTTAGTCCTAATTTTCCCCCGGGAATACGATCCGCCAAATCGTTTACCAACCAAGTACCCATTCACTGCTGGGTGAACAGAGGCTACAGTTAAGGATTTGGTTAACCTCCCTGGCCAGGATACAAACCCAGGATAAAGCGCTCTCGAAACACCAGGCGAGTGTCATAACCACTTCACCACGGGGACTGTTGAGTATCACACCGAACCTGTCCCCTGAAGCCCACATCAAAAGGATATCATCAGCGGCATATGCCAAGTTGGCCAACATAAGAACTGCCTTTAGAAAATAGTGGAAGAAATTATTCAGAACCTTGTATACCACATATGCCAGACCAAGCCTGGAATACGCAGCTCCAGCCTGGAGTCCTTATCTAGTCAAACAAAATTAAATTAGAAAGTTCAGAGGAATGCCACCAGATTAGTCCCGAGCTGAGAGGTATGAACTACGAGGAAAGACTACTGGAATTAATCCTTACGTCACTGAGAGACAGAAGAGTTAGGGGAGACATGATCACCACTTACAAAATTCTCAAGAGGAAATGACTAGATAAATATAAACTATTTAGAACAGGAGGTACACGCACAAGGGGACACATAATAACCAACTGAGCCACAGAGACGTTAGAAAGAATTTTTTAAAGTTACAGTTAACAAATGAAATGCATTAGGAAGTGATGTGGTGGAGGCAGACTCCATACACAGTTTCAAATGTAGATATGATAGAGCCCAGTAGGCTCAGGAACCTGTACACCAGTTGATTGACGGTTGAGAGGCGGGACCAAAGAGCCAAAGCTCAACCTCCGCAAGCACAACTAGGTGAATACACACACACACACACACACACACACACACACACACACACACACACACACACACACACACACACACACACACACACACACACACACACACACATACACAAACACATACACAAACACATACACACACACACACATACACACACACTGAGGATCTGGGGGCCTCGCGGCTGAGTGAACAGCGCTCGGGGGTCGTAATCTTAAGGGCCTTGGCTCGATTCCAAGCCGAGGCAGAAGCAAATGGGCATAGTTTCTTTCGCCTTGATGCTCCTGTTCACCTAGCAGTAAATAGGCGCCTAGGAGTTAGGCAGCTGCTACGGGCTGCCTCCTAGGGATGTGTGTGTGTGTACTTACTTTGTTGTACTCACCTAGTTGTGCTTGCGGGGGTTGAGCTCTGGCTGTTTGGACCCGCCTCTCAACTGTCACTCAACTTATTTTTTTTCCCACACATGCACACACCTGACCTAGAAAGAAGCAGCGCAGGCCCTCAGCGTGCCTCTGGCAAGGATCTTTAATGAGTCAATTATGTCGAGAGAATTGCCCAGTTGCTGGAAGGAGGCAAATGTCATACCGATTTTCAAGAAAGGTGATAGGGAGGAGGCACTTAACTACAGACCCGCATCACTGACAAGCATCCCCTGTAAAATACTGAAAAGAATAATTAGGCTAAGACTTGTTGAGCACCTGGAGAACATTGGGTTTGTAAGCAAGCACCAACATGGGTTCTGGACAGGGAAATCATGCTTAACAAACCTTTTGGAATTCTATGATAAAATAAGAAAGCTAGGCAGACTGCATATTTCTAGATTACCAAAAGCCTTTGATACAGTACCGTACACGAGACTGCTATTCAGTCTTGAGAAGCAGGCAGGAGTAAGCGGAAAGGACCTAGCATGGGTGAGGAACTACCTAACAGGAAGGAGCCAGAGAGTAATGCAAAGGGCGAGAAGTCGGACTGGCGAACAGTAACGAGTGGAGTACCTCAAGGATCGGTGCTGGGACCAATCCTATTTCTAATTTACGTAAAGGAGGAGGAATCCTACAGGAGTGGAATCCTACATATCAATGTTCGCGGACGACGCAAAATTAATGAGAAGAGTTGTGACAGATGAGGATTGCTACTATCATTTGGGAGATGAAATACTTCAAGAGTCAGAGAGAGAGAAAGACCTGGGGGTTGATATCACGCCAGACCTGTCCCCTGAAGCTCATATTAAGAGGATAACATCAGCGGCATATGCCAGGTTGGCTAACATAAGAACGGCCTTTAGAAACTTGTGTAAGGAATCTTTCAAAACTTTGTATACCACATATGTCAGACCAATCCTGGAGTATGCGGCTCCAGCATGGAGTCCATATCTTGTCAAGCATAAGACTAAATTGGAAAAGGTTCAAAGATTTGCCACCAGACTAGTACCCGAACTGAGAGGTATGAGCTACGAGGAGAGACTACGGGAATTAAACCTCACATCACTGGGAGACAGAAGAGTTAGAGGGGACATGATCACCACATACAAGATTCTAAGAGGAATTGATAGGGTAGATAAAGACAGACTATTTAACACAAGGGGCACACGCACTAGGGGACACAGGTGGAAATTGAGTGCCCAAATGAGCCATAGAGACGTTAGAAAGAATTTTTTTAGTGTCAGAGTAGTAGACAATTGGAATGCATTAGGCAGTGATGTGGAGGAGGCTGACTCCATACTCAGCTTCAAGTGTAGATATGATAGAGCCTAATAGGCTCAGGAACCTGTACACCAGTTGAGAGGTGGGATCAAAGAGCCAGAGCTCAACCCTCGCAAGCACAACTAGGTAAGTACACAAAATCGGGACAAATCATTGGAAGATTACCAGACACCAACCAGCCTATGACAGTCCCTGACCCCAGTGCCCAGCGTCACGCCTGCAGCCACTGACAGACAGGCAGAGATTCTACTACACAGCTATAGCAGTGGCCGAGAGCGGAATATATGTGGCGATCATTGTAATGCACTTAGTCATGGCGGCGGGAGGAGGAGGAGGAGGAGGAGGGAGGCAGGAAGATGTTAGCCAGCCAAAAGTAGAGGCGGCGTGGCGCGGCCAGCAGTCAGTCAGTGGGTCTGTGGTGGTGGTGCGGTGTGGAGCGTTCTGCTGCTGCTGCTGGTGCCCCTGTTCCACCCTCTCTCAGGCGCTGGCTCTCCTCATACTTGCTAGAATAACCTTTCCCCCTTTTTGATCATAAGTTCCCTCGGTGCGTGCGAGCAGTTTGTGGTGTTTTACAAGTGTTGATCTGTTACTCTTGTGTGGTGTGTGCAAGGAACGTCGCCTCAGAAGTGTGGATTTTTTAATTGAAGAATTGTGTTGGTGTCGTGGAGGAGGTACTCAGCACAACACCGGTTAACAGGTCTGTTATCTTAGTTTTTCTACTTCTCTTATACAGAAACATAAGTAATACACGTGTTGGAGAATGTCTTAAAGGTTAAACCGGTGAAGTTTTATTTCTTAAGTGGCGTTTAGATCTTTTGATGCCTAAAAAGTTGAGGATAAATATGCAGTAGCTAGTTAAAGGTGACTAGTAATCCAAGGTGCTCACTGAATACTCTTTATTTAACTCAAATAATTGTCGCTATCCTTGGCCAGTTGCTACGTCAACTTAGCAACTGGGCAAGGGTAGGAGAGTTGAGCAGGTCCGCGCGTCTTGGCTTAGTACAATACAAGTTTATTTCCTCGCGTCTGGGCAGCTAACTTCATTGTCTTTTTAATGAGTTTAACATTGATTAATTTATTTTAATCCCCGTTAGTTGGAGACTTTAGTTTAAGGGATACGGAAGTGTAGTGATAATCCACTTAAAACTTTTTCTTTAAATTATTAAGTCATATATAAGAGTTCACTAATCGTACAATAATGTGAAAACTCTTGTATATAAAAAAATAAAAAAGTAAAAAATGAAAACTAGCCTAAACCTAACCATATATACGGTTTTGATAATGTGAGAATGAGGTCTGGCGAATCGTCTTGCGTACGACGTGACCTCGTTTGGAGGTGTAACGAGCAGTGACCCTCGTGTTCCTTCTCTTGCTTAGGGGAAGCCCAAACACTTCCACTCGTGTTCAATATGCAACAAACATTAATTTCTGGCGCCAGTGCTGTACATTAGAGACGAGTGTTACCTCAACACGTGTACCATAGGCCTACTCCACAAATACAAGTTACCTCAGCTTCCCCACGTGTGGCAAGGCCTACCTCCAGGTAGGCCTATAAATGTTACCTTGTTATCACCACGTGTACCAATATCCACTACGGGCTCACCATAGCCCGTGCTGCTTGGAACTTCTTGTTCCAGGTAGCGAATCTTTAACAACAACAACAACAAGAGCCTCCACAACATACAACTGTTACTTCAGCAACAATACGACGATCAAAGTACTTCAAGTTATGCAGAAGTATTTTGACACTTTTAACTCGATAAGGAAACAATATATAACTATTGAACGACCAGTGTGTCCAGGGGTAGAGTGAGGGGGGGGGTGACGACCAGTGTGTCCAGGGGTAGAGTGAGGGGGGGGGTGACGACCAGTGTGTCCAGGGGTAGAGTGAGGGGGGGGGTGACGACCAGTGTGTCCAGGGGTAGAGTGAGGGGGGTGACGACCAGTGTGTCCAGGGGTAGAGTGAGGGGGGTGACGACCAGTGTGTCCAGGGGTAGAGTGAGGGGGGTGACGACCAGTGTGTCCAGGGGTAGAGTGAGGGGGGGGTGACGACCAGTGTGTCCAGGGGTAGAGTGAGGGGGGGGGGTGACGACCAGTGTGTCCAGGGGTAGAGTGAGGGGGGTGACGACCAGTGTGTCCAGGGGTAGAGTGAGGGGGGGGTGACGACCAGTGTGTCCAGGGGTAGAGTGAGGGGGGGGGGTGACGACCAGTGTGTCCAGGGGTAGAGTGAGGGGGGTGACGACCAGTGTGTCCAGGGGTAGAGTGAGGGGGGGGGGTGACGACCAGTGTGTCCAGGGGTAGAGTGAGGGGGGTGACGACCAGTGTGTCCAGGGGTAGAGTGAGGGGGGGGGGTGACGACCAGTGTTTCCAGGGGTAGAGTGAGGGAGGGGTGACGACCAGTGTGTCCAGGGGTAGAGTGAGGGAGGGGTGACGACCAGTGTGTCCAGGGGTAGAGTGAGGGAGGGGTGACGACCAGTGTGTCCAGGGGTAGAGTGAGGGGGGTGACGACCAGTGTGTCCAGGGGTAGAGTGAGGGGGGGGTGACGACCAGTGTGTCCAGGGGTAGAGTGAGGGAGGGGTGACGACCAGTGTGTCCAGGGGTAGAGTGAGGGGGGTGACGACCAGTGTGTCCAGGGGTAGAGTGAGGGGGGGGGTGACGACCAGTGTGTCCAGGGGTAGAGTGAGGGAGGGGTGACGACCAGTGTGTCCAGGGGTAGAGTGAGGGGGGTGACGACCAGTGTGTCCAGGGGTAGAGTGAGGGGGGGGGGGTGACGACCAGTGTGTCCAGGGGTAGAGTGAGGGGGGGGTGACGACCAGTGTGTCCAGGGGTAGAGTGAGGGGGGGGGGGGTGACGACCAGTGTGTCCAGGGGTAGAGTGAGGGGGGGGTGACGACCAGTGTGTCCAGGGGTAGAGTGAGGGGGGGGGGTGACGACCAGTGTGTCCAGGGGTAGAGTGAGGGGGTGACGACCAGTGTGTCCAGGGGTAGAGTGAGGGGGGGGGTGACGACCAGTGTGTCCAGGGGTAGAGTGAGGGGGGGGTGACGACCAGTGTGTCCAGGGGTAGAGTGAGGGGGGGGGGGTGACGACCAGTGTGTCCAGGGGTAGAGTGAGGGGGGGGTGACGACCAGTGTGTCCAGGGGTAGAGTGAGGGGGGGGTGACGACCAGTGTGTCCAGGGGTAGAGTGAGGGGGGGGTGACGACCAGTGTGTCCAGGGGTAGAGTGAGGGGGGGGTGACGACCAGTGTGTCCAGGGGTAGAGTGAGGGGGGTGACGACCAGTGTGTCCAGGGGTAGAGTGAGGGGGGTGACGACCAGTGTGTCCAGGGGTAGAGTGAGGGAGGGGTGACGACCAGTGTGTCCAGGGGTAGAGTGAGGGGGGTGACGACCAGTGTGTCCAGGGGTAGAGTGAGGGAGGGGTGACGACCAGTGTGTCCAGGGGTAGAGTGAGGGGGGTGACGACCAGTGTGTCCAGGGGTAGAGTGAGGGGGGGGTGACGACCAGTGTGTCCAGGGGTAGAGTGAGGGGGGGGTGACGACCAGTGTGTCCAGGGGTAGAGTGAGGGGGGGGTGACGACCAGTGTGTCCAGGGGTAGAGTGAGGGGGGGGGGTAACAACTAGTGTGTGTTACCTTGAGGTGATTCCTAAGATCAACATCTCCACCAACCAGTGGACATTGGCTCTCACAAGACCTCCAGTGGTAGAGGATAATGACGAATCCGTCGAGCTGTAGAGGTTGTAGAGGACCAGAAGAGCAACAGGTGAGAATCAGCGTGACCTCCCCCCCCCCCCCCCGCCTCCTGTAAACTACCCAACTAGGCCCTCCTCGCGACAAACAACTCCTTCGGCTACGTCTTGGTCTCAAACCTCGGCCCAAGTAACGCATATTGATTATCGAAGAGCATTATAGGTCTCGTGAATTCGCAATTGTGCTGGCATATATGTCATTCTTAAAATACACCTGCATGATGTATGTGAGGCTGTCAGCACCAACGCCATTCAACGTGATGATTTATTTCAGTGAAAATATTTACAGTGCGAGACTATGTAATTCACAACAGGTCAACAGGCGCGGGGAGAGTGTGTCATGATGAATTCAGAGAGGTTATTCTTACCTCAATTCATCACACTAGTAGTGATTGCTTTGTGTCTTGTATCTTCACACAATTGTGTAATAAAATGTGTATAGTATGAATCAGATCGTCCTCCTAAGACTTCCTCAACGTCCAGAAAACGGGCAATGTAAAGTAGCCTAACCTAACCTACCAGAAGACCCAAAACAGAAAACGGGACAGTACGTCACTTTCGCCACCTGCTAATTCAATTTTCCAGTACGACAAGTTTTTGCCTTATGTAACGCATACCAGCGAAAAGCGACGTTTTTTGTTGAAGGACAGGTTGTATGAATACAATTAATTCAAACTAATTAAACCAATGGAAGATATCTCAATACATAAACTACAAGACTACAAGAAACTACATGAGGCATGGAGTTATCAGGAGAAAGCGCCAAGCCATTACGACTATATAGCACTGAAAAGGGGTCAGAATAAGGATTTGGGATAGGACGGGGGGGAAAGGAATGGTGCCCAACCACGTGTGGACGGTCGGGGATTGAACGCTGACCCGCATGAAGCGAGACCGTCGCTCTACCGACCACCTCAAGTGGCCGGGCAGGCCCCCCATGAACGCCTTCACGCTGAGGAAAATATTTAAATAATTTGGCGACCTTTACCAAGTGGCGACATTCCTCACTTGACTTTATTCTCTGTAAACATCATTGAATAGAAAGTATATTTCTACAAGAAATATATATATTGGTAATGGTAGTTTTAATATGAATCAATATTCGTTAATTACTGGGTCCTCGTGGTAGTCTGGTTCGTTCTCCACTCTAGATCGAGAATTCCGGGTTCGAATTTCGGGCGGCACAGAAATGGTTGGGCGCGTTTCCTTGCACCTCATGCTCCTGTCCACCTAGCAGTAAGTTAGCTTGTTGTGGGGTTGCATCCTGGGCGGGGTCAGTAATTCGATCTTCTCAGGAAGGGGGGTGGGGGGTGGAAAGCTCGGTATAAACCTAACATGAATTGTACATATAACCTGGCTTCCTGTCCCCCGACACAATGAATTAACTTCTGACAAGGCCAGCTAGTAGGTTTCTCGGCGCATGCGCTTAACTCTGGTCAAGTTACACGCGGGTCCATAGGTACACAGACGAGCAAAATTATAAACGTCGTGAAGCCGGGAAAAACAAAAGCAGCCGACGCGTCAGATGAGCGTGAGTACTGTTGTTTACCGTTGCTAAACAGGTTTGGCTCTGACTTGGCTCAAGATATAGGCAACACGGCGCACATCACCCGCCCAATAGGCCACTGCAATAACAATACATATACGTCACAATTATATATGGATTTACACACACACACACACACACACACACACACACACACACACTAAATATATATAGTGTACCTACTAGCGAGAAACGCATTATTTAGCCTAGTATGCAACACCGATTTGCCTAACAAGCAGAGTGATTTTCATAATTTTATTCCAATTAATATACTGAGAACATGAATTACTAACCTAGTTAGGTTAGGTTTGATCACATTTCTATGCAAGTTTCAACTAAAAAGAAAAAAGAAAATCATATATAATGTAATTGAAAGCTCAACGAGTGGTATTAACGAGTCTCGTTACGTG